TAAACACAGCATAAACCTGGTATGTATACCCTATCGGTCTATGTGAAGGAGAGCTGGAACTCCACTCCACTGGCATCACTATGTAATCACACCACCGCTCAGTACCGATCAGTAAGGTGTTTACCATCACCTAGGTAGCAGAAGAACCCCCACAGTACAACTTCATACACATGTACAGACTTAATAAAAGCAGCTCATTTAATGGTCAAGTGCAGCTCTTCAATGTGTATGTCTGGAAACAGCACACAAACTCAAGTTGTGAAAATACACGTTGATAAAACCATCTGAGTGCTTCTTCATGCACAGAATCAGGCTGGTGACATTCAGTATTTTCTTATTAGGCACTTTCTGACCAAGCAGTTCCAGGGACTATCCCACTGGCGGGGCTTCCCCGAGGACTACATGTCTTGAACTGATTAGGCAACAAACTCGCAATGGTTGGCACATGCCGACGTCATATTGCCGCTAAGGATTTTCTTTAAATTTTATTGTCGTTAAGTGTACAAGGAGCCACTAAGCTTCTGTAGAAACTTCTGTTGGCAGACTGCAGCACCCTCTGCCGCTGGGGACGTTTCTTTTTAAAAATGGCAGTTTGCTGAATTGTCTCAGTGTTTGACCAGTAGACATACACTTATGTCACTCGTGGTTCCTAATGTGCTGGGAGAGTATCTAAAAAGAAGCCCCCCAAAATGGCATTTTGATCATCCTGCAGTGTGGACACAAAAAGGAGAAAATCTAATGAGTCCTCTGTGTGTGTGTGTGTGTATATATCGTAGCCTGGTACGTCTCCTTCCTCTGGGCCACAGAGCTCCACTGTGTTGAGAAACTATTAAACCACATCAGTGTCCACACCGTTGCACAGGGTGACATGTTCCTTCATCACCGTGAACACACACAGTCCCAAACACACCATCCTGCTGCTACAAATACTCTAGACCAAATGTAGATTCATCCGCTGCTGAAAATAGGCCCCATCAAATACAGTTTCCACAACTGTGATACAAACTACAGTGAGCAGTTAGTCCAGGAATTTTTTTATTTTTTTTTATAAGGTTCTTTTAAGGCTTTACGGAGTCAGAGGAATATTTTGCAATTGTATCAGGCTTTTTTTCCTGGTTTTTCTGTTTCAATGCAAACAAAGGAAAGAAACATCAAAATACCAAATAATTTGTGACTACAACAATTTTCTGGGATAAGTGGTGCATTATCTGACAGAAATGCAGGGGTGTCAATCTTTTTGGCCATGACCGTTAATAACCTTTGAGTGTAGGTATGATTCTTTTGGTTTCAGTAGATACTGGAAATTAGATGTGGTAGTCCACCAAATCTAACCGAAGAATAGCACAATTTGATCAGTCCTCATTTCCTACTACAGCTGTGGAAGGAGAGAAGGACGTATGGAAGAGAGCATCCTCACTTCCTGCATCACCAGCACCCACTCTGCACAGAGGATCACTGGCAACAGCCTATCCAGCATCAGTGCTATTTACAAAAACAGGTGCAGGAAAATGGCCTCTAGCATCATGAGGGACTCTACCCATCCAGCTAACAGATCGTTTGTCCCTCTCCCTTCAGACAGGAGGCTGTACAGCATTAGGGCCAGCACCACCAGGCTGAGCGGCAGCTTCCTCCTGTTCTGCATCCTACTGAACAACTGCTGCTATTATCACTATTCTCTCATACCAGGGCACTGCTGCAAATGAGACAATCTGACACTTTGACTGACATTACTGCAATGTCACTGAACATTCTGCTGCTCCTTATGCACACCTGCTACTCACATTGAACCAACTGAACTAGAAACTGGTGACCATGAAACTCAGTGGACAGACTAACAGGGATCAACAAAAACAATAAGTAAAGCTATATACTGATGTTCAGTTAGCACTGTATTGAACTTTTTTTCTATTTTTCACCTCCCTCTCTATGACCAGTAATTTATAGTGTTTGCCCTGTTGGTTCAAACGGATTTCCTCTAATGCAGCCACTGGTGAGGCTTTTAGATTCTTGAAGGAATGCTCCATAGGAAAACGATGTTCTGAACATCAAAAATCCCCTGATGTGTGGTCGCTACCTTAGCCAGGCACAGTTGCCACATTACCTGCTCCTTCCGCGCATCCTCTAAAACCAAAACAGGTCCAGACGGCCAACGTACAGTTTCGTTTTGACACCAGATTCATCTTTTGTTTGCTGGCATTTGAATTTGCTTCTGCTGTGGCAGTTTTTAATACGGTAGCAACACCAAAGCCAAACTTGTCTTGAATTTTTTGGGTCCACTCTGACTCACTTCCACCACGTTTCACACGAAGCGTGAAGCAAAAAATGGTTCATGTGTCAAAGCTTTAAGTGACCACGAAACCACCTAATGTCGAAAAAAGTCACCACACGAACCTGTGTGCAGAAATAAAGCCCTTTCAGACAGGAATTTGCCTGCTATTTCACATCTAGCTGTCATATTTGAATAAAGCACCGAGGCAGGTAGCTGGCAAAGTGTGACCGGCAATTTTACCTGGTTGGGCCTAGACAAACAGCTGACTGCTCTCTAACCAACTACGTCTGAATTGACGTGGTCAAATTGCCAGGAAGGGCTCAAGATAGACAGTGCTACTAAGATGTACGTGCACACAACATTTCAAGCAGTAACTGTTGAGGAGGATGTGAAATGGATGTAGTACAAAGTTCATTTTGAACTGGCACAGAGAAGATATGGTACCATATTTGAAAGAAACTATAAGCTTTGAAGAAACATTCTAGATGTAGCCTAACAGGTAAAACATGACATTGTTTTCACTACATGTGAAACATGGGTTTGATTCCCACGTTGATTGTATTATTATTTCCTCTCTGTGTAATACACTTAAAACCTCATGTGTGACCACAGCAGTAAGTTTTTACCTTTAGAAATATGAGGAACACATCTCCAATACAGTTCACTAAATGTTCTTGTTAAAATAAACAAAACAAGCATGTTCTGTGAGGCTGTGCAAGTCCACGCCTGAGAAGACTGATTGTGTGACAGTGCAGACATGGGAAGTGGGGAAATGGAGATAACTGTTATAGCTCATAAACAATACTTTACTATTTGCCCAGGGTGTGTGTAGTGAATGCACTTGTGAGACTGGCAGGAATGTGGGGACTAACCCTTCTTCTGTAAAAACAGTATTTGTTGCTCTAGAACTATGGGCTCGTCTGTTCACATGGCACAGATGTAGCATATGCACACAGTTTACCTCCAAGAGAGAAATTAAACTGAAATGTTCCCATGCTGGTGAAAAAGTCCTGTCTGGTGCTGATGCCACATAATACAAACAATCAAGCCGCACTAATCTCCAATACTACGAGCCCATGAACGTTGTGATCCCCGCCTCTACCCCTTATAGTTCAAACATCCCGCCAACTTTGAAGCACTTCCTTGATCAATGGCGTCATACTCTAACTGATAAAGGCCTAAACAGAGAGTTTCACTTTTCACTGCCTCGAGTACTCGACACGCTCGATGCCCCAGTTTTCAGGCAACCATCACTAGCAGTTTGATGTCGACTTGTGCTAACCAACATGCTGAGTAGGGAAATCTAAACAGCTGTTGTCAGGGGAGAATTCAATAAAAAACTGAGGCTTTTTGCCTATAAATTGAAAGTGAAAATGTTTTCTCAAACCTGCCAGGAGAGCAGGGCACTTCTGCTTTTTATGATAGATAAATGGATAAATGAGGTGTAACAGATAAAGGCCCTTTAAAGCAAATCTGTCAAATAAGTAAACATTTATTTGAATTATTTGATATGCTTCTAAATCTTGATATATGAATGGCAATTGATCTTATCCTAGCACATTTAATTAGCCATTATAGAATACCATTAAATGATCTCAGCTGGTTATAGAAACGCACCATCTGGATCACTGCTCTCTTCTGATCTGCCAAGGCAGGTCAGTAAGTGACTGGCCGCTCTCCTCCAAAAATCACTCAAGGATACAATATTGTCATTGTTTAAGCAACACTGACACTTTTTACACATGTGTAGGTGTGTCAACAACAGTTTTCTGTTTGTGATTAATAAACGTGTGTAGTACAAGGTAACAACTGTAAACATGATGAACACAAATTAAACCTGACAGTGGCGCAAACTGACAGCTGACATCTGCTCTACACAGAGCTGCTGTTCACACAATGGCTATCATTTGACTAAACCAAAACAGCACTGTCACATTTACAAACCATTCTGAAAGGCAACTATGTTAATAAACAAATTTTAACCACATCCTCTTCAATCAAGTCACACGCTACATGCCCATAACCTGGTCTGAGGACACATCCTCAAGCCTCTGGTGAGCTGTGTAGCAGGGACAGAAGGCTCTGCGATTATGTGTAGATGCTGGAGGGTGGGTGCATTATTTAAATCAAGACTTTAGCTGTGGTCTGGACTGATGGTGGGTGCTTGCAAACAGCACTGAAGAGCAGGGGTTCTGGATAAAGATCTGCACAGTACAACTGCATCAAAGGCTTACAGTGCCCACAGCAGCAACCTCAGTGAATGCACTGCACGCCTGTGAGCAAACCAGGGCTGTTTGACAGATCACTTTGGCGCACAGACAGCAAGGAAAAGCCATCGGTAACGCTTGGTACTGTTTGGGGAAAAACATGACAGTGTCATGAGACACATTCTATGTGTATCTGCATCACAACCTGCTGCCCTTAAGCTGTAGAGGATCTTCTTAAAGGCTTACACTAGGTTAACTTCTTACTAAGTGATGGTATAAATACCACTCTCATTAGGGCAATGCGTGGTTTACTGATTCGTGAAGCCGCAGTTTGCAGCATGTTTGTAGAAATCAGTCATATTTCCCTCAGAATCTACATAGAGCAAGTCACAGGTTTGAGAGGAAGCGCGCCTCCGTCTCCCTATATGGCTGCACGGCAGGCGCAAAAGATCATCCATTTGACATGCAATCGAACAAAAGCATGAGCCACAGCACAACATCAATTGTTTTGTAAATGTGGTTACCTGGGTTCAGGCAGGATGATTTTCTTACTCGCCCGGGCCGCTGGAGTAGATTTGCTCTTCTCCATCGCCATCAAATAACTGACATCGGCGAGCACTGCTTCGAGGTCCGCCATCTTTCGACCCTGGGACGACCAAATCAATAAAAAACGGGGATGGGTTTTGTCTTAGGGAATTAAAAACAATGTCTTTGACAAGATATGTCCAACATCAAGGGCCTAGGTGCGTGACAGGGCCAGCTGAGCGCACGGCAGGGCTGACCATCCACGGGAATGGTGTCGTTGTCTCCGGCTGTAGTCTGTGCACTTCGCCTCAAACTACCATCACTGTGACACAAAAAGGAAATTCAGGAGGGAAAACATTGGGTGGTAGGTTACTCAAAAACCAGTCAGCAGGCCCGCTAGGTCACCGTCCTTGTAATCCCATTTAGTTAAAAAAATCTGACGTCTTGTGAGGAGCGGGGGGAAATAATGCAAGGAAAGGACTGAAGGTCTGGGTTTGAGTCCAGGACTTCCTCGCTTTATAGTGATGTGAAAGGTCTCACAGACTGGTTTCACACACCAGATGCTGGATGTGGAGACAGCTGTCAAATCCTACAGGTCTCTGGGGATTTCCCTGGTCCTCTTGTGGGAAATGTGCCCAAACGACTAGTTTGTCTTAAGTGCGGCATGTGTTTCGTGATTGTCCTTCAAACGTAAACCACCGAGCTGTCGAAAATTTGTCAAATTTCAGTGGCTGCACAGAAAAAAATTGCAACGTTTCCTTCTTTACCTCGACAAAAACCCGTTTTATATTAATAAAACACGTGTTAATTCAGGAGGACGGATACTGGTGACAGGGTGAAGTGTGTACCATCGGGGTGCTAGGTCGGCGTCCTTATCATCAAAAATGCAGGAGCGTATTGGCACAAATAAAAGTGACACAGACACAGGTTGAAGACGAGCTACGACTCATGATTAGCATTCCCTAAAATCCACACACCGCTGCTGTTTATGTTGCCGTCGCAGCTGCTGGTTGGCTTCCTGTGTAGGCTCAAATGTTCCGCCTTATCGGCTCATCAATCGCAAAAATGTCGCCAGAAAAGATGTGGATTAACACTTTAAGAGGTTTAGCACCAAATCTTGTCCAAGCAAGCGGATATAATCGGTTAATCACCGACCAAATCCAAACGTCCGAAAGCGACGTTTTAGCCTAATCTTAATATCGATATTTGGGTTCGCCTGCTGGTTAGCCACCACGCTAGCTAGCAAAATGAAACCTGCTAACCAGTAGGCTAACTAACGACTGGAGTAATTAATCCGCCCGCACATCTATTTTGGATTTTTTTTTTTTTAAATCTCAGCAGATACTTTAAAATGCCCTCGTTGGCAGTAGCAAACACAGTCACAAGCTGGCACCAACAGTTAACACTGGCTCGATTTCAGAAAAATTTACTTAAGCTAACGTCTGCGAGTAAACTGGACGCTCGCATGGGGGAAGTCTTGCGGCGTGTCCAAAAACAGAAAAGCAGTGTTCCGAAGTGTAGTGGAGTCAAAAATAAGGGCAAAATGGCACAAAATAATCCATAGCTGCTTGGTCAGTTAACCCGAGTGTTAGGAGGACTCTCCTCCTCCGGAGACTAGGCTAGAGGCGCTCACTCTCGCCTGAGTATCTTAAGCAAGTGTCGGTCCCCTACTTCCCGAGCGGCCGTGTGCCAAACGTTTCGTTCACTCGTCTCGATTAAGTTGTTCGTTTTCCAGTTCCAATATGGCACATGTGTCAGCTGAAGACCCCCCTCAGTATACTTCTGATATACTTTTCGCTAGCACACTGGCACAACTCGCTTTGTGGTTCAACTTCCTCCCACTGCGGCGGGGAGAGGTTTGTAAAACCCGGAGCGGGTCGTTCCTGGCGGAGCTGGACCACACCGGGTGTCGACAGAGGAAATGCTTTGTATTTTTGCTCTTTTCTTGGGGGACATTTTACAAAACATTGTAGTTTATGGAACCAGAAATGAAAATCTAGCTTCGTGTACAGCTGGCGTTATTACCACTATTTCACTATGAGGATTTCCCTTATGGACCATTTGATTCAGTGGTGAATTACGACTGGGAATAGCATCGACCAGTCTAGTAACAGGAAATTTCCCAGGGGTGGGGGGGTTGAGATAAAGAAAGACACATCGAGGCCTTTTTGACTCATTACAGTCATTTAACATGCACACTGGCTGCCATTACCCCTCTCATCATGTGCCAGTGTTAAGTAAGTTGCTTGTCGCATTGAATCTGAGTAGTCACGAAGCAGCTTCCTCTAACAATGAACATTACAAACATTACAACACAGTTAATTATTTCCTAGGCGATAGGATGCCCCAGTGAGCTGGTGTGTTGTTTTGATGGAAACGCAGTGCCGTTTCCTGGCCAGCAATGGTAATGCTTCCAGTACACCTACAGGCCCACAGACTGTGAGATAGTGCATGGGAAAGGTAGACAATAAAACATGACAGTGCAGGAAAAGCATGCTGCACCTGAGGTGTAACTGGGGTTATAAATAAATACATAAATAAAATCAAGAAATTGTCTGGCTCCAGCTTCTCTAATATATGGAGTTGTTTCCTTTCTTTAACATATATAATAGTAAACTAAAATATATTTGGTGTTTGAACTGTTGTTCAGCTTTAGGGAATTATAACAGACATTTTTACCTATTTTATGACACTGTATAGACCATATAATCATTAACTGAGACAGTGAGCCACAGATCAAGACGTTTGATTTGATTTGATTTGATTTGATTTATTCTTTCAAGCATGGAAAGACAGTTGATATGTCAACACACATAATTTTACACATATCCAACAAATGCTAATCCAATATCAATTTGCTTATACCTAGTACATGCTTGAATGGAGTAGGAAGAAATCAGACTTATCCAGTCCTACCCCATGACATCATCTTACATCATTGGTTTGCAAGCAGTATCTCTACATAAATAATTCTCTTCTACACCACACAAGTAATATACTAAAAAAATATAACAGTGTTAACATTCTTACATAATTACAT